GTATGCCCTCGCAATCTACCCATTCCTCCAGTCTGCTCTTTATAATCTGCATTACCAACCTGTAAATAGCTGGTGTCACGGTTATGGGACGATAATTCCTAATATCAGACTTATCTCCCTTTCCGTTATATATCATACTCATCCTACTAAGACTCCATTCATCTGGAATATTTCCTTTTGTTATCATAGTGCTCATTACCTCCCTTAGTCTTGCCTTAGATTTGGGACCCAAATTCTTCACCAGCTTGATTGGGATACCATCTGTGCCTGTCTACGTGCCACTTGGTACACTTCGGTCCGCCTTTTCCTATTCTCTTTGTCCAAAATCCGCGATGTCACAAGCTGGACTGCTACTTCCTTCGGTTCGCCTATCTTCCACACGTTCATGAAATTTCTCCTCCATCACTGCTGCTATATGTCGTATCGCATCATCTCCCTCTAGCTGATCTCCCTGATGCGAGAGTATGAACCGCTGAAGTTACAGAATATTACAGTTGAGGGAGCTAGTAAATACAAGTATCTAGGAGTATGGATATGTGATGGTGCAGAATATCTCAGTGAGCATGAAAAGTATATAATAGGAAAGGGCAAAAGAAATGCAGCTGTAATAAAAAATAGAGCACTTTAGAATTACAATAGGTATGATGTGGTGAGAGAGATTTGGAAGGGGTCATGGTGCCTGGCTTGACATTTGGAAACGCAGTGCTATGCATGAAATCCGATTTGCAGTCAAGACTAGAAATAAGTCAGCGCGGAGTAGGTAGCCGAGCTTTTGGGGCACATTCCAAAACGCCAAACCAGGGAGTACAATGAGACATGGGATGGGCGTCATTTGAGAGCAGGGAAGCTGTGAGCAAGATAGAATTTGAGGATCGGTTGAGTCAAATCGATGGGGAGCAATGGGCACGAAAGGTTTTCAGCTATTTATACAAGAGGAGTATAGACGCAACGTGGAGACAGTGCACTAGGATATTAAGTTGAAAGTTTTTTGGCTATACTGGAGTTACGGAAGAGCAGTTCTCAGTTAAGAAGAAAGTTAAGGCCGCAGAAAGAGATCGGTGGCTAGAGGGTACGCAGACAAAGACGGCTCTGGAAAGCTATAGGTTAGACAGAACAGTTATTGCCAAAGAAAGCATTTATGACAATTCTAGGGGAAGCTCATCGTTGTTTGAGGCGAGGACAGGTGTTCTGCGAACCGGAACATACAGAGCGAAGCATCAGGAAATGGATACAGTGTGCACTGCTTGTGGAGAGGAGGACGAGATGGCTGAGCACTTAATACTCTACTGTAAAGGGCTTAACCCTATGGCTACGGAAGAGAACATAGATTTAATAAAGTCATTGGGTTTTAGAGACAGCGGAGGAAGAGTGGATTTCAACACAGTAGAGATTACCAAGGAAATATTAAGTCAATGGTGGGAGAAAGCAAGACAAAACTACGTATTTTCTTATTAACTGATGGCAAGGGGGTTTCGTAGCCTCACTTTCTTTTCAGTGCGGAGTGAATATAGTTTTCACATTTAAATATTCTACGCATAAATGGTAAAACATAATGGCTAGGTGGCTTAAGCTACCGCCCGATCCAAAAGGCTCAGCCGGATTCATTCATCCATCCATCCAGCTCCGAAAACTGCGGGCTCAATTTTGGAAGGTCACCTCGAATGGCAGCGTTGCCATCTCGAAGGAAGTGAACCGTACTGACAAGTTGGTCCACTTTTCGTACGAGCGCCGTTAAAAGCCCCCGAGTCCGCAGGTGCACTGCCCAGGAGCGTCCAGTCACACAATATCCTCGCCATTAGTACTCACGGAAACCACGATAGGCACGCCATCGAGAATTCCAGCACTGTCCGGGCCACGGCGCTTGGTGCACGGAGCACATTTGTACGTGCTCACTCCGCTAGACATGTAGAAGCCATAATCGTCCCCCTCAACATTAAGGCATTTATAGTGAAAGCGGCGCTTGCAGATGCCACTAGAAGCCAGGAAATGTTGACGGCAGAAAAACTGGGAGGAGCACTTTCCGCACACGACTTTGCTCTCAGTCATTCCGGCACGAAATGACTGAGAGCATGATAGTTCCGCGACAACAAACATACAGGTGAAAATCACACTGAGTGAAAATTAAGTGCGGAGTTTTAAAATGAAACGAGCACTTGCTTGTTGCGTCCGCCGTGGCCTTAATCAGTTTTCACCAAGTATGCGGAATCGACGTTGAGTCACTCTTTGAGCTCGTAGTTTGATCTCCGCTAGTGTTGATGACAATGCTGCCCACAACGTTATCAATGATCTGGTTTACTTCCACCGTCATGTCCTCTTCAGCAATATGATAACGACGTTACCCCTTGTCCGGTTCTTCGGAAGTGCCCCCCGTTTGCTTTCATGCTCGAAACACGTCTGCAGCGCCTGACGAAATATGTACTTTTGCCTCGGTGTTTGATGATAAAACCATTACCTTTAACTCTCGGATTTTTCGGGGAAGTAGTAAGACCCGAACTCTCCCCTTGGCTCGAACTGGCGACCGCAGTGTTCCCCCAGACCTGGGATTTCGGTATAGTATACTGATGTTTTTGTTGGTTCCGCGAAAAGTCTACCACGCCACTGAATAGTTTTGGGGCATTCGATCAGGCGCGCATTTCTTGACCATTTTTCTTACGTGATGCAGAGATCTCTTGGCATACAATGCAGCGTTACTATCAATACTATAGGAAGGTGGTTGGGATGCGATATATAATTTGATAGTTATTTCAGTTCAGGAAAGCTGTGGCGCCGCAGAAAGGCAAGTTGCTCATGCCATTGTTCTTCTCGACATTTTACATTTGCAGCTTCGCGGCTGTAAGGACCTCGTTTCTCCGTTAGAAGCCATTTCAATCCTTTCAAGGATGCCGAGGTAAACGTTTTTGAGCCTCTAATCCCACTCAGCATTCTTGCCTCCTCGAAACATGGTTAGTCTAGATCGAACATTCCCATCTTTTTTCTACTCGGTCATCCACTTGAATAAAGCCCTTTCACTTACATTGGTTAACACTGTCGTTTTTTGAACGACGCTCCTAATGCTGACTGACTTGCCGCTCACCTCAAGGAGGGCTCTTAAAGCATTCTGTGACATGGTTGGCTTCTTTACAATAAAAACAAGGCTTAGTGCAGAGGTGGATCGATGACTCGGGTGCTACCATTTTTTGGGAAGCAAAGCACCAGCTGAACATTGTCCTTTGATTCATTTGAATTGAAACCAGGGCATATTTATAACTTGAATATAAAGTATCATAAAGCACCTTCTGAAAAAAACTAGCCTATTACTTTGAAACAAATTCCTGTTTGCTGCTCCTAATAATATATGTTTTTGGCTAGTCAGTAGGAAGTCTTTCTACCATTCTTGTACATTTAGCAAGGCCAAAAGAACACCAGGGATTTCGAACTGAATGTCCACTCCAGCCCGCTTCAATCTGGATGATCATCGTACTGGCGTGCGGTGTTGTATCACTACTGCGCGATGTGCGTTATAGACACCAGACTGGCGGTGGTACTGCACTAGCTAAATGTCTCATCTACAGCTGAGAAACCAGACGCCAGCTGAGGCGGTTAACTTCAGGCTGTGTAAGCCTATACACAACACAAGTACAACTTTTAAATAACCACACTGAATTATTACCATAAACCAAGGCGGGCCTTTTACAATTAGGCAAGGCTAAAGCAGTTTAGACGTTTTCAAACTTGCTGTTCTCTTGAGAGAAATAGAACCAAAACATGCAGCGCACGAAGTAATTTTGTTACGTTGAGCTCTACTTAGCCTTCGTGCATCCGGCCGACTTCACTAGGCTGTACATAATTTTTTTTTTAAATGAAATATAGGTGGTGATGGGCCAGCGCGTCGTTGCACGCCCCCTGCCGCGTCTTTAGTGATAAGACCTCTCAGGCAGGCCATACTTGTGCATTACATTACGGGCTACTGCGATGCCCTGTTCTGCGCGCGGAGCAATAGAGTTTCTTTAACAGAACCATAACTAAAATAGGCTTATTACTTCAACACATACACTTTTGTGAATGTTGAGAAAATTCATTAGACATTATTGAGGGTGCTTTTCGAAATGCGGGTCGAATCCCTCCTGCGAAAACTCCGCATCGCATATAAAATATTATTGCCGTAGTAGTCTGTGCCAAAGGACCCGTTAAAGAAACTTGTTAGCGTTCAGTATAGTCGGGTATTTACAAAATTGTTAATAAATATATTTTTTTGTTAAATTTAAAGATATCGTTTTATTTAAAAACCTAATGTCCATCACCGAAAACTAAGAAACTTACTCACATCACAATGATTGGCGCGGGCAGCATTTCACGGCGTTCCGAAGAAAGGCTCTAGGTTTTGTTTTCTTATCGGAGCGCCCTCTTCCCTGAAACAAGCAATCATGCTTCCCGTGGTCCAAACGAGCAACGTAGGTGCGCCACCAGGCATCGCACGTAAAAGAGGTTAGATAAGAAAGAATCCGGACTGCCACATAAGGTTTGCCAATTTTACTTCGGTGCCAGTGCAGAGACTCACCTTTAGGTGCGATGCGTGTCGGCGCACATGTTTTGTGCGTTTTGGCCAAGGGGAGTTGGATGGCTAGGGCGGAAATCTGCTCCGATAAAAAACCGAAACCTAGAAACGCGTCCAAATAGATAATTTTGTTTCGGAACACCGTAATATGCAGACCACAACTTATATCATTATTTAATGAGATGATTTAGTAGTTCCGAATAATTCGCACCAAGTTTACAATAAAACAATACGTTTAAAGGTAAAAATTAAAATGTTTGTTACTAAACCAAAATTAATTGCCGAATGGTAGTGCACGCCAAAATATTTTTCTTAATGGACCTTTTGGCACAGACCACTACAGCCTCAAACATTTTTCTCTGAAATACGTAGTTTTCGAAGGAGCGATTGGCCCGCACTCTCAAGAAACACCCTGTATATTCCATGGAAGTTGTTGGAAGCATATATGAGATCTGTTGCTACTTACAGGTGTCCAAGTTCATGAGCAATGCTATGTACTCCCTGACGGGTAAGGCCATTATCTTCCACAATTCCCACTTTTTCGGATGTGCAGATAGTCCCAAGAAATGCAAAACCTAAAGGGAGTGTAATAATATAATGTACATTATGAAAATGAGATACCGATTCCTTCTTGCATGCAATAGGCAAGTGACAAAGTGCTGCGAACGTGTCACTATTTACACATTTTCAGGTGGGAGATGTATTCTTAATTCTGACCCCTTTTCAGTTAACTGAAATTGTTCTATTGCTTATAGTTGAAGTTTGACTAGCTCCTACATCTAAAACACGCAGCACAATTAATGCACCACTTAAAAAAAAGATATAGAAAAAGATTAGCATCAATGCACTTCAGAAAGTGAGCCATTCATCGGTGCCTTGTTTGGCTCTTACGCGAAGGTAACCTGGAGATATCTTAAAAGGTAGGCACCAAAAAGAAAATCTAGAAGAATTTCTTGTACCTAGAGCATAAAAATTTGCGAAACGTGGTTTATTTTCTAAGGATTCATGCTTCGTGATTTGGCTTTTTGTGTTCTTATAAGCCAATTCCACTGTCTTATTTTGTGCGCAGAGATAATGAAATGCACGAGATTTGCCACCTCCAGCGTGTTTTAGGTCGCCTGTAGGTTGAAGTGTTCTAACTGAACTAACGTCTACACCTGGCCGCATTTCATGATAAACTTCAAAATGTTGTATGCTATCCATATCACGCAAATAAAGTGCTCACTTGTAATCAACTTTGTCTCTTGTAGGCGATAAATTTTTATATGCAACTCTGACGCATATAATTGCTGCAGAATAGCATGCGTTGTTCCAGTAAGGATCCATATTTGTTTATTACACCATCTTTGCCTCAGCCGGAAGTGCTCGATTCTGCCCAAAAAGAAATAGGATTGGTACTTCTGTGGTTGGTGCCTTTCTGAGTCTCTGGTGAAGTCTTGGCGTCAGAACTAGCAATATTGTAATATTTCTGTGTCTACTGAATTCAGATTGAATCAACTGGGGCATTTTGAAAACGTTTTAATGCGTATAGTTCATATCGTACCAGGGCACCACCCTGGCAAAGTCATTTTACACGATGTTTTTTTTCTCTTCTCTAGCTTTCCGACAACGGGATTGTGTTGATGAATTAACATGCTCGTAGACGCGTTAAAAAACGAAAAGTTATTAAAGGGGCAGTGTACCAATATTACTTTATAACGCATTTCTCTTTACAAGAGCTCACTTGCGCTAGTGGGACCCAAGTATTGTCGCACGCAGTGCCACTTAGCAAGAAACTTAATTGTTGCAGTGAATTTTCAAGGACAAAAGCGAGCGTTTCTTTTTCAATCTTTCCTTCGCAAAACTTGATGACGTAGGTAGTAGCTTGCAGGTCGAGCATAGCGTGAGCACTTGGATTAGGTGCTTGATAATCAATAGCTCTACAAGCATTCGGGAAGTCGCTCATGTCCAACCCCTGAAGTGGTGACAATAACCTAACCCTTAGAATATCTGGAACTCAGCATATATCCGGCTCTATATCAAGCGGCCGCTTGTTCTGGCTGCCAGCTGAGGGGGTAAACGCGGTTTTTCTTTTCAACGTTTTTTCTACAACTAAGATAGATCGGGAAAAGCTACTACCCGTGTTTCATTGGTTATAAATGCCATGTATTCATTCTAAGCGGTATTTTCGCAAGGCACAAACATCGTTGCACGACCCTTTAAAGGTGAATGTAACACTGGAACGATTTAATTTTAAATCGTGCGAGAAAAGGTCCTAATTCGAAAATGGCTGAAAAATTTATACGCCGGGGAAACTGTTGCTAAATCAAAATTGAATATCGTGCTTCCGGCAAATTTTTGTCCTCAAGTTTTTGCCTACGAAATGACAAAATTCATTTTTTAGATTTCGGCGATTGTCACAAGTCCTGCGTTTAGGTCTTCCGCCAGGCTCTAATTCATTTCACACAAGAAAATTTGTGCAGGGTTTTTACAACTGCAATAGTGCCGAATGACTATAAAAATAAAATTATGCCTTTAATTAGCTCCGTAATACTTTAGAAAATTGCCAGTTTGACAATTTTCTACCTGAAAATAATAAGCATACTTTTTGTGGCATTCAAAATAATGGCATAAATTATTTGCGGCCACGAGCGTGCCTAAAAAGCTAAGCCTGTGCTTCACAGTGTGAGCTTATTAATCAGAAATCTTGATAGCCAACCGGCGACAATCGGGCGGCGGCAGCAGTGGGAGAGCCAACGGTTTCACCCCGTCCCGTAATTTGGCAAAGAGTGAACGATAAGCACCACCCTGCACGCCGATGGCTTCGATATGTGCTACGTATACGAGCGAAACGCACACATGTTGGAGCATGACGCAGCAAAAGGCCTGATACTTCTTCACAGCAAAAGCGCACTTCGGTGATACGTAGTCACGTTCCGATTGGACCGCCAGGGTCGTAGCTCCCGCCGTACCGGCGTGTTATGCGATCACGGCTTCCTGGCCTACCCAGTATTTCTCGCTTCAGGTACTAGACTAAGCGACGCCACCAGAGGGATAGCTCACGTTTGAACAATGCAGCCGGCACTCCCAAGTATTTCCAATGTTTCTTGCTTTAGTCGCTAGATGGCGCCATCCAAACTGCGTTGTAGGTTGCCTTGTGACGTTTTCAGATAAGATCGAACAACCATGTCCAAAACTCGAAAGTATAAAACAGTTTTGTATCTATTAACCAACACGCTCGTCCCAGACGGTGACTTCAACGACAACCCGGACTGCAATCTTGACGAAGACCTTGATGACACCGAGGGCGATACCGACGACGAGTGTGATGTCGACCACGAAGTCGAACAGAGCGACGACGTTTGGTTCGTCACTCAACGAGCGGGAGAAGTCCGCCGACTCGATCACACTTTGATTCAAGCCGCATAACGAGCTGACGACGGCCGGTACAATTTTTTACGCCACGACGCCCTGTTCCAGCCTGCCTACCAAGTGGGGATCTGAGCACCAATTCATCGTCGCAACGAGGAACTGTTGAAGTGGTGCTTCGGCCTTAAGGTAATTCGGTACCCGAGGGGCCTAAACAGCGAGCCGTTGCCCGGCGAAAAATGAACATTGCCACTCCGCCCTCTGCGACCCAAAGGTGATTCACGCCGTCGAACTCGAACTGAACTATGCTGGATAGTACTGTAATATCCTGTGCATTAGGTGACTCTGCGATTATCGCTCCTTTTGTTTTAAGTAGCAAATTTAATTTTGTGTTGCATTGGGAGCGTGCGTTTTTTTCAAGAGGGGAGCAATGCCGCGTGCGACTAGCTGAGTCAGTAGCGTGCTTGTCTTCCACGCCGCTTGCTGGGGTTTGATCCTCGCCAGCGCTTGTCCAATTTATAATTCTTGTGTTTGCATGTCTGGAATGTTCCTGATGGCTCGAGAATCTTCTTGTTTGGTCGAGCTCAGAAAGTTCTAGATACCCACGCGCGCGCTTATAAGAGGAGCTTAACATGGGTGCTTCAGTCAGTCGTCTTTCCATCGGCATCAAAGCATGAGCTATCACGATCAATAGGATTGCGAACACCGCTCCGCGTGGCCCGCGGTATTACCAGTGCCCCCTGACAACTGTTCTCTGAAGTACACGTGCACCTTAGTTTCGAGACATTTTTTCTCTAGCGATCGCCGCACCACTCTGCACTTCCGGGTCATCTGCTGCGAAAAACGGTCGGCGAAACGGCGAAACAGTTCACCAATGACGAGCATTTTTCACTAGCAATGTGCGCCAGCAAAAATAACTTGTATAAACATCTTTAGGTTCATGCTTTTGATTAGGAAGTTTTAGTAGAATATTCCCCTGAAACCGATAACAATACCCGGTACTGCGCCGACGACTTTAAAGGGCCCATGAAACGATTTTTGGGTTGGGATAAATCATTTTAGATTGGGATTTTACTAATAGCACATTGTTCAGTGGACCAAAAGAAAAAAAGGTAGAAAGTCAAAAGCCTGACTTTCAGTGCGAAAATTTGAAAACAGAGCGGACTATTTCGTACCTCCTCCCCTTCGCGACCTCTCTGCCTTTTCACTGTGATACATCCGCGGTCCCAAAAGCGCATCATCGGGTCCAAACTGACGTCACACGCAACCGGACCTCACTTATTCCCTTCACCCCTAAGCTGACATTGTGGTGGAAGCTACGCGCTTGCCGGACCAATCAGCCGCCTCCCTTTCATCACCTGACTTCATTCTCTGCAGCCACATTTGCCACGCTCACGTGGCAAGTGTGGCTGGCCCAACGATTACGTAGCTTCAACAGCACTGTCAGCTTCGGAATGAACGGGGTGGGGAAAGCAACTTTTGTCTGAATTTTGAGCGACAGGCTAATCTTCTAGGGGGAGAATGGATGTGTCCGGATTACACAAACGACAGTGCGAGAAAGAGGGGTCTCCCCTTTTTCGTCTTGTTTAACTCTTTTGGTGGAATGCGCGATTTATGAGTTGAGGAGGAAAGCTAAACAGGAAAAAGTTGGAAAAGCGTTTCATGACCCCTTTAAGCATGCATTATATTGTTATCAGAGGTTTCAAAACAATCAACTAGGCTTGGTAAGTGCTTGGTCTGCTGGTGAGGTTGATAATTGACATTCATATTAAAAATATCGCAAAAAAGACGAAGAGTAGCTTGTCCCGTGTGCTGCTCCATTTTGTCCCGTCTTTTTTGCACTATATTTAAGATCAACCAAGCCTGCCTATTATTTACTTCGCGTGAGTTTAGCGATTGCAAAAGACCACCAACTACCACAGGCAAGACGCTAGCGCGGTGCGAGCGTGGGTGATACCTTTCATCATAAAAAAAACAGCGCGAAAGAAACGACGATGACGTTAAGAAACAGACAAGACGTACCCGTCGTTTTTTTGCGCTGTTTTCCATGATGAATTCCTACCAACTCGCCCAAATATCCATTCTTCTAAATGATACCCTTCGATCCTTAGCACTGTAAAAACAATATGACACAGCATAAAGTTCAGTGTCGCTGCGGGTTGTCGTGCGATAACCAGACCACTACTTCGCAGCGCATTTTTAGGGGAATAATCTACTAAAACTTCAT